AAAAAAGAACCAGAACTTGAAGATGTATTATTCATTTATTTGTATGTGGTGCTGAGAATCGAACCCCGTGCCTCACATATGCTAGGCAAGCGCTCTACCATTGTGCCACAACCCCAGCTCTGAAAGCTCATTCTTTACAGAATACTAAAAGTGTGGCCAAATGACCATTTGATATAAAGATTATGAGTGAGACTCACAGATTTAACCAGCCATTTCAGCAGAAGCCAGGAATAGGTATGGCATTATATTAGAAAAGACACTGCTAGTTTAAGCCAAGAGGAGAAAGTAGAATGGAATGAAAGAAGGCTGCCAGACTCCTTGAATTCTGTAGGATTGCACCATGGAGCTAGCTGCTTGGCTGTGAACATGTACTATTCTTCAGGGAAAGGGAAGAATGACCCAAAAGTGATAGAGACATCAGGTTGCTCTTCCCACCACAGGTCCAGTGGGCAAGCCTGTTCCCTCTTGGGCTTCAAAGGTGAGGCTGCTTCTCTAGATTTAGAGGGCCAGGATGATTGTGAGCAGCATCTCAGGGGTGGAGCCACCTTGCAGAGCCACAGGGCTGATGGTGCCACCACACTGGACCAAGAGTACAAACCAAGGAGGATTATTCTCCAGTCTTAAGGTTGAATGGAAATTGACTTGCTAGATTTTGAGTTTTTGGGATCCACCACTCCTTCTTTCCATCCTCTGATTTTTCCCTTTTGGAATGCGAATGTCAACACCATGACTGGAATTTTAGAATTAATTCTGAAATAAGACTTTTGAGGTTGTTGGAATGTGTTCTGTATATGAAAATATGTATTTGCATGAATTTGAGAGGGTGGAGGACAGAATGTGATGGACTATATTTGTCCCCCAACTCCAATTCATATGTTGAAGCTCTAAACCTCAATGTGACTGTACCTGGAGATAGGGCCTACAAAGTGGTAATTAAGGTTAAATGAGGTCCTAAGGTTAGGGCCTTGTTATGTTTTAGATATGAGGCGTCCTCCAAAAGCTCATGTGTGAGATAATGCAAGAAAATTTAGAGGTAAAATGATTGGGTTATGAAAGCTATAGCCTAATCAGTGCATCCAGCTCCTGATAGGTATTAGCTGGGTGGTAACTATAGGCAGGTAGGGTGTAGCTGGAGGAGGTGGGTCACTGGGGTTGTGCCTTTGGGGTATATATTCTGTCCCTGAAGAGTGGAGTGCTCTCTCTCTCTCTCTGCTTCCTGGTGGCATGTCCCCAGCTGCTGTCCTCTGCCACTCTTCCGCTATGATGTCTTGCCTTACCTCAGGCCCTAAGGAATGGAGTCAGCCATCTATGAATGGAGACTTCTGAAACCATGAACCCCAAAACAAACTTTTCTTCCTCTAATTGTTCTTGTCAGGTCTTTTAGTCACAACAGTGAAAAAGGTGACTAACATAGGCCTAGCCACAATAGAACTGGTGTCCTTAAAAGAAGAGATACAAGAGTAAGAACATTCATTTCCTCTTGCTGTCTCCCAATCATGTGAAGACAGAGAGAAAGCGGCTATCTATAAGCCAGGAAGAGCCCTCACCTGAAAAGAAATAAGTTGGAACCTTGATCTCAGACTTTTCAGCCTACAGAAATATGAGAAAATTCATTTCTGTAGCTTAAGCCATCCAGTTTATGGTATTGTTATGGCAGCCGGAGCAAACTAGATTATGCACAAAATAAAGATTTTTGTACTCTGTGACTGCAGTGGATTGGTAGGGGTAGGGTAGTATCCTTTGACTTTCAGATTGCTAAATTCCAACACTGACTTCCTTTTGCCAACATTTTAAGAGAGAGTCACACCTATTAGCCTATTCTAATTTCCAGTAATATGGGAAGGGATATTTTAAGAAGGCACCCAGGGGCTGGGGTTGTGGCTCATCAGTAGAGCACTCGCCTCGCACGTGTGAGACCCTGGGTTCGATCCTCAGCACCACATAAAAATAAATAAACAAAATAAAGATATTGTGCCCATGTGTAACTAAAAAAAAAAAATCTTAAAAAAAAGAAGGCAATCAGGAGAAACAGTTGTTTCATATGAGCTGATTGCTGGTCTCTTTTGCTTATCTCTGCAAAAGAGGGTTCTCAGCATCCTCATAGTTTATTACTCTAAGACTGTACAGTAAATCTGGTACCTCTAGAAACACACAGAGGGTCTTCAAAGAGACATTTATATTCAGCATTTAGTGTAAAACATCCTTTCTCGAACCTGCCAGCAACTCCCAGTATATAATCACTTGCCACCTGTTCTTTCGAGATTGCTTTTGCATCATTACAAGCAAAGAAATCAATACCAGACCATTGATTTAGGAAAGAGACAAGATTGCATGGCAATAATACATAAAGTTAGTCAAGCCCTACTTCTCAATTGTTTTGAAAGAACAGATAGTTCAGTGCCCCTTTCTGAAATAGGTACTCATTCTGCACCGGTGATCTTGTAGCAATAAAGACTCAAGGTAGATAAGGCACCATAACCCCAATTGATATAACACCTCTTGAGTGCTACACAGAATCTCGAAATGCCTTTTAGACTCAATAGTAATAAATTAACAGGAGCAAGATTCCTTCTCTGAAGTTTTCCCTGTGGTTTAATTTTAAAAGTATAGGCTGGACCCCACAGGGTCACTGCTAGCACCACAAGATGGTCAATAGGTATAGATGCTGCAAGTGTGGAGAGCAGCCAACTGAGGATCTGGTCCAAATGTATGTTCTGTCTTGATAGATAGGTAAGGTCAATTGTTTACCTTATCCATTAATTTACCAAGATACCATCTGGACTTTCTAAGCCAAATTAACATGTAAAAGCCAGTTAGATGGCTTTGAACCAGTGAATAGAATCAATAAAAAGGAACTACGGAATGGAGACTATTACCTTAATTTTACATAGAGCTTTGTGTTTTTCAAAACCTTTCACCTTCATTATCTCACTTGATCCTTCCTCAACCCCATAGGGATTATTATCATAAATATCTAAAAAAAAAAAGAGGAAATTGAGGACCAAAGACTGTTACTCTCTTGAAGTAGGGAAGAAGCTAATGGTAATGAAAGAAATGACTACTCATCAGGGACATTTTGTTCTCTTCTAACCAAACAATAGCTCCATATGATAGGTACTATTATTGACAAAGATACCAAATGGCAGAGCCAGGATCATAGGCCATGTCATGTTTATTATAGTGATAGTGACAAAACATGGCTTAGTGTTACAGTGAATGTAACTAGGCAAGAATTCTTGATGTCAAGCATTCTGGACATCTTGAAGCAGTGGATTGTCTGAAATGGGTGGTATACATGTAAGAAAGAAATAAGTGACACAATGGAAGAAGTACAGGCTATAAAGGCAAGATTATCTGTGTTTAAATTCCAGCTGTACTGGGGCTGTGGCTATAACTCAGTGGTAGAGCATTTGCTTAGTATGTGTGAAGCCCTGGGTTTGATCCTCAGCACCACATAAAAATAAAAAAAAAATAAACTAAAGGTATAAAAAATACAATACCTTATTTATTTTTTTTTTAAAAAAGAGCCTTTTAAAAAAGAAAAATTCGGGGTGGGACTGTAGCTCAGTGGAAGAGCGCCTGCCTCGCACGTGTGAGGCACTGGGTTCTATCCTCAGCACCACATAAAAATAAATAAATAAAGATAAAGGGGGAAAAAAAGAGAAAAGAAAAATTCCAACACTCCTTGGTTTATACCAAAGGACTTAAAATCAGCATACTATAGTGATGCAGCCACATCAATGTTTATAGCAGCTCAATTCACAATAGCTAGACTATGAAACCAACCTAGGTGTCCATCAATAGATGAATGGATAAAGAAAATGTGGTATATATGCTCAATGGAATATTATTCAGCTTTAAAGAAGAGTAAAATTATGGCATTTGCCAGTAAATGGTTGGAGTTGGAGACTATGCTAAGCGAAATAAGCCAATCCCCACAAAACCAAAGACTAAATGTTTTCTCTAATATGTGGATGCTAATTCACAATAAGGCAGGACGGGGGTGGGGGCACCAGGGAAGAATAGCATTACCTTAGATTAGGTAGAAGAAGTGATAGGAGGGGAGGGGAGGGGATGTGGGGATAGGAAAGACAGTAGAATGAAATAGACTGTATGTATATATGTGACTGCATGACCAATATGATTCTGCAACATATACCCTCAAAAAATGAGAAATTATATTCCATCTAGTATGATATATCAAAGTGCATAAATGTATTCTACTGTCATGTACAACTAATTATAACAAATAAAAAAATTAAAAAAATTTCCAGCTCTATTAGCTAGCTGTGTGACCTTAAGCAAGTTAGTTTACCTCTCTCAGCTCCATTTTCTTTGTGTATCAAATGGAAAAAAGATCTTAACCTCATAAATTTGATGTAAATATTATAAAACAAAGTTCATGAAACAGTAACAAATATCAGTTATCTTCCTCAATAAAAACGTTTCTCTGGCAAGCTGAGGAATTATAGAGCTGAGGTAGACAAAGGTCTCTTGGTAGGGAATAAAGACAGAAACATGGAGTAGAAGGCACACAGCAGACTTCATTTTTATAGGTAGCTACCTCAAGCAGTTACAGCTCAAGGACTCTTTCCTTTAAGAAGATTTCTCTGCCTTTGAGAGTCTGAGTCCTTCCAAGGTTCCCACAAAAATTCTTGTTTACCTCTAACTTAGCATGCAGTATCTCTTTACTTGTCTGTTTTCTCTTCTAAATAATAAATAAGCCTCCCTGTGGGAGGGAAAAAGGAGGTACTGGGGATGAACCTGACCAAATTATATTGTTATATTGTGTGCATGTATAAATATTTAACAAATCTCACTGTTATGTATAATTATAAAGCACCAATAAAAAGTTTAAAAAAAAGAGCATCCTCTGTAAGACAGATGTGCAGTGACTTTTGTGGAAAACAGGAATTAGAGGAAAGAAAGGGAAGAAGAATAGTTCCCTCCCAATAATAGTTTTGGCTAAGATTAAAATGAGATTTATAATACTTTCTTACCTTAACTGCATAGTTACTAAGTGGATCTTTTGCATAGGAGGCAGTGTAGTAAACTGCATCACCTGCTTCACAACATGGCTTGTCACTGGTTAGCCTAAAGTCTGACCAGCTGTCCACCCCAAAACGGAGCTGGTCTTTCTGTCCAGCCATAAAGAGGTCTTCACATTTAATAGCCAGTTTCTTCAAGGCATCTGTATGAAGGCTTCGAATTTTACCCACTACTTCCTCCCGATTTTCAAGTCCTCGATAAAGTGCTTGTCTCTGTGGCTTCTGCATGCCTCGACTCTGTCTGCAAGAGGGACCACGTCGGCTGGACAGGGACTCCATGCTGTTGGAAAATCTGTCCTTAATACTGAGAGTGGTTAAGCTGGAAATGCTGTTTGCTGCGGAAGGGACAGGTCGCTCCTTGTGCAGAGGCCTCTCCAAGGAGTCATAAGACTCAATGTCCAGTCCTTTGAGTTCATAGCTGATGGAGGAACCAGCACTGCTAGCATCCCAGTTCGGGTCAATATCATAGGTGGGATTGGCCATGACACAAAGACTACTTTCCATGGATTTCTGGATGTCTTTGGAGATTGGCTCTGTATTAGCTCTTATGATCATTTTCTTTGGCAGTGGGGGTGGTGTGGGTTGGGAAGCATTTGGTGCTTCTGGGTCTGTTTTCCCTCCAAAGGAAATGGCATCATCCAAAGCTCCCTTGGGCTGCCGAGGATGCTTGGGAGGTATCATGGCTGCTCTAGATTGCCCTGTGTTATTTCAAAAGAAAAAAGAAAAGAGAATAATTAAGCAAATTTTCCAGATTTGTTTCATAATTGAAACTTGAGTAGAAATGAGTGAGGTAGCCACAGGGGATGTAAGAATTATCCAATGCTTTCATTCAAAATGGAAAGCAACTGAAGAACACACACCTGAACATTGAAGGCATGAGTCTAAGACTTGGTGGGAGTAACAAGTATGAATGTCTCAGCATTTCTCTGCTACAGGAACAGGGCAGTAGTTTGCGTGATGGGCTTTCTTTTCAAAAAAATAATCCAGAGTCTGGGGTTGTGGCTCAGCAGTAGAGCGCTCACCTCGCATGTATGAGGCCCTGGGTTCGATCCTCAGCATCACATAAAAATAAAATAAATAAATAAAGGTATTGTGTCCAACTACAACTAAAAAATATTTAAAAAATAATTCAGATTCTCTAGTCCTGCCCCCAAGAATGCTATAATTCACTACTCCACAATACTAAAGAATCACAGACATTCAAAAACACTTGCATTGTGACAGAATAAAGATGATAGCATTTGTGGATCAAGAAAATACTTAGGAGCATTATTGAAAATAGAAATGAAACTAGCAATGGGACCACCAGACAGGGGCTCAAAAGATGCTATCCTGTTTTTTTTTTTTTTAAACATTGTTCCAATTTATAGTGTACATAGTACTTACCATTATACATCTACATATATGTATACAACAGGTTATATGCATAGTATTTTCCAATACATGAATATGATTGCATAAGCCTTATTATTTTATTTCACTGCAGAGATGGCTTTTGACATTGTTTAAACTGGTCTATGTAAAGATTCCTGTGATTATGGTCAGGAACAGCACAGGAGCAGTTACCTGCTATTTGAAATAGTCACTCACAAACTTTTATGTGACTTTTTATTTCGGGGGCATATACATTGTGATTTGAGAGATGCTGCTTTTGAAAATCTTTTATGAGCCCTAGTTATAGATCATCACACGGTGTTCATTCTGTTTTGTCTCTTGTGTTCATGTGATTTTTTTTTCTCTTATGTGGACAACAGTTGGATCAGAGCCCACCCTAATAACCTCATCTTAACTTGATTACACCAACACTCTATTTCCAAATGAGATCATGTTTACAGGTACCAGGATTTAGGACCTAAATATAACCCGTTTTTGTGGGGCGGGGGGCACATAATCCAATTCATATCATCTCTGCTTAATTTCCAACATAAGGATAAATCCCATGTGTGGGTTTGAAGATATCTTCAGGGCTTATTGTAAAATGTAAAAAGGACTTGTTTTTTAAAGACAGATACACCATGAAACTTCCATAAAAGCTCTTAAAAACTATAGTCATGTTATTAAAATGAGACCTGTACTCAAGGTCTCAGAGTTAGAGCATAATACCTTGTTATGGATTGAATTATGTCTCCCCCAAAAGATATGTTGAGATTCTAATGCCTGATACATGTGAACCTGACCTTATTTAGAAAGAGAATCTTTGCCACCAGGTGTAGTGGTATACACCTGTTATCCCAGTGACTCAAGAAGCTGTGGCAGGAGGATCACAAGTTTGAGACCAGCCTCAGCAACTTAGCAAGGCTCTAAGCAACTTAATGAGACCCTGTTTCAAAATAAAAAATAAAAAGGGCTGGAGATGTGACTCAGTGGTTAAAAACCCTGGGTTCAATCCTCAGTTCAAAAGAAAAAGAAATAAAGTCTTTGCTAAAGTAATCATGTTAAAATGAGACCATTAGGATGGGGTCTAATCCAATATGACTGATGTATACATAATAAGAACACCACCTGTATGCAGAGAAAACAAAACAAAACAAAACAGAGAATACCATGTGATGAGTGAGGCAGAGACTGGAGTGATGCAGCTGCCAGCAAAGGAATGCCTAGGATTGATGGCCACCATCAGATGCCAGGGTTCTACCCAATGTCTCAGAGGGTGCACAGCCCTGCTGACAACACTTTGGTTTCAGATTATTAACCTCCATAATCGTCAGAGAATAAATTTCTGTTGTCTTAAGCAACCCATTTATGATACTTCATTATAGCAGCACTAGGAAGCTAATACATGCTTCTATTGATGATCACCCAAGAGTAGAAGGCAATGGATAGTTCTACAGATGAAGAATAGGGGTAGTGGATTGTTTTGTTACAATCATGTCCTTGAAGAAATATCAAGGGTAAGCACTAATGTAAACTGTGATTGTAATAATAATAATAATAATATATTTCTCACACATTTGACATTTTTCAAGAATACTTAAGAGTTTAAATAACTACCACAATACATGCAGCAAACCCAAGGATCTCCATTCTCTACCAATTGCATGTAGCAATATTTTTACAAGGAATAGAGTTACTTTAAATATAAATAAACAAAATATGTATATAGAGAAAACATGAAAGAATATGAGAACTCAAACCTTCAGCAAATATAATACTCAATAAATATTTCATTTTAAATGATTAAAAAATATTTAGTGTGAAAAAGTAATTAAATTCTATATGTACATATAACAAGGAAAGAAAGTAAATTAATAATTTAAAACTTTTAGGCTGAAGATTTGGCTTAATAGTAGAATGCCTGCCTACCATGCAATGGTCCCTGGGTTCTACCCCAAGCACCACATAAATAATTAAGTAAACAAATAACTAAAATTAAAAATTCCCACAAAGAAAAGCCCAGGACTAGATGGCTGATATATTCTATCATATGTTTAAAGAGGTATTAACACCAATGCTTTGCAACCTCTTAAAAAAAAAAAAAACACTGCCTACCTCAAATTCTATGGGGCCAATACTACCCAGATAATCAAACCAGATAAAGACATAATGAAAAAAACTAGAGATTATAGCTCTTATGAATACAGTTTGAAAAATCCTTACTTTATACTAGCAAACTGAATCTAGCAATGTTTTAAAAGGATTATATACCATGACAAGGTAGGATTTATTCAAGGAATGCAAGGTTGGTTAACATCTGAAAAATTAACCAATGTTCTACACAATGCTAACAGAATAATGGGAGGAAAGCCTCATGTGATCACCTTGAAAGATGCAGATATCAAGAGCTGACATCATATTTAATGACAAAAGACTGGCTACTTCCCCCTAATATTAGGAATAAGACAAGACTTCTGCTCTTACCATCTGTATTTAACATTGTACTTGAGCTTCTAACTGGGAAATTAGGGAAGAAAGAATTAAAAACACTGGATTGGAAAAATGAAGTAAAACTGTATCTACTCACAGATCTTGTATACTGAAAAGCCTAAGGAATTCACAAAACAAAATACAAACAAACAAAATCTATTAGAATTAATATACCAGCTCAGCAATATTACAAAATACAAGACTGATGTACAAAAACTAATTGCATTTCTATATACTAGCAATGAATAATCCAAAAATGAAATTAAGAAAACAATTCTATTTGCAGTATCATCAAAAAGAATACAGGTACAGTGGCACATGCCTGTAATCCCAGCAACTTGGGAGACTGAGGCAGGAGAATTGCCAGTTCAAAGCTAGCCCCAGCAACTTAGTGAGGCCCTAAGCAATTTAGCAAGACCCTGTTGTCAAAATAAAAATATAAAAAGGGCCAGTGATGTGGCTCAGTTGTTAAGTGCCTTGGGTTCAATCCCTGGTACCAAACCAAACCAAACAAAAACACCCAGACTTTCAGAATAAGTTAACAAAACAAGACTATACACTGAAAACTATAAAACATTGTTGAAAAAAATGTAAAAAGAACTAAATGAAATTAATCATGTTATTAAAAATTAGTCACATTATTAAAATGACTAATATTATACAGTTGATTTATGTTCATGAACCAGAAACTTGATAACTTGATATTGTTAAGGTGGGAATACTTCCCAAATTGATCTACAGATTTAATGTAATAACTATTAGAATCTCAGCTGGGTTTCTTGCATAAATTGAGAGGCTTGTCCTAAAATTTGTGTGGAAATACAAGGGAGTTAAGAGTACCAAAAAATACCTTGAGAAAGATCAAAGTTGGAGAATTCATACTTTCTAATTTCAAAACTTATTACAAAACTATAATAATCAAGACTATGTGGTGCTAACATAAGCACAGAAATATAGACGAGTGAAATAGATTTAAAAGGCCAGAAATAAACTCTTGTATTAATGGACAATTGATTTTTCACAAGGTTGCCAAAACAATTCCATGGGGAAAGAACAGTCTTTTCAATAAATGATCCTGGAATCCCTGGATGGCCACATGCAAAAGATTGAAATTGGACTCCTCTCTCACAGAATACACAAAATTTAAATCTCAACGTAGCAAAGATTTAAATATAAGTTTAAACAATAAAACTCTTTTATTATTATTATTTGCAGTGTTGGAGATTGAACCCAGGATCTTGTGCATGTTAGATGGACACTAGACCACAGAGCTATGTACCCAGCCCAATTAAACTCTTTAGACAAAACATAGGAATAAATCTTTGTGGCCCTGGGTTAGGCAGTGTTTTCTTAAATATGATGCCTAAAGCATAAGTGACAAAAGAAAAAAATTGTAACAGTGAAAGTCATTAAAAATTCAAAATGTGTATTTTTAAAAGGATACCTTCAAGAAAGTAAAAAGACAATTCAAGGAACAGGAGAACTATGTTCAAACTGTATATCTGATAAGGATTTGGTCCAGAATATATAAAGTAAGTACTCTTACAAAAAGATAAATAGCCCAATTAAGAATGGTTAAAAAATGCACAGATATTGCTCCAAAGAAGATATGCAAATGGCCAATAAATGCATAGGAAGATGTTCAGTATCATACTCATTAAGTAAATGCAAAACATGATCACAATGACACCTCTTTCATCCACTAGGCTTGCTATAATAAAAAATCCAGACAACCATTGTTGAGGATATGGAAAAATTCAAAAGCTCATACATTGCTAGTAGGAATCTAAAATAGTATAGCTACTTTGGAAAACAGTCTGGTCGTGTCTCAAAA